AATATTAATTTAAACCGTATCTCTTAAGTGTTTTTGAGTTTTTGTTGCATTATTTTCTAGCTAAGTTAAGTCCAGTTACCTTGTAATTGGTAAAACTGTTATTTTCAAAAATAAACAACAGCAGATGGAAAACACTACATTCATTTTGAAGTGATCACAATATTTTAGGTCATGACACTTCACAACTTCATAAAGTAGTGCTTAACACTGTCATAAAAACTAAAAGAAAAACAATAAATACAATATGTTCCATTATTCTGGAAATAACAGAATACACTTTGCATCAGTAAAAACAAAACAAATCCCACAGTAAAATCCAAATAAATGATACATAATAAATTGAGAAAATAAAATAAGTATGAACAAGATAATCTGAAGTCAGGGAAAGAAAACAGAGCAAAATTTCATTTTTAAAGGTATCAAACTACTGGTTAAAAAAAAGAGGAAGAAAGAAATGAGAGAACATAGGGCATGGGTATAAAATATAGGCCACAGTAAATTACCATAAAAATAGTTTGTTGGAAGGAAACATTAAAGGAAGCTTTTCTTTTGTTTATTCCTTATTGGGAAAGAGTTCCTAAAATATAAATAAGGCACTGTTCCTCCCTTTGACATCCAACTGGAGCAGACCTTAAGAAAACTAGGTTGGGATGTGAAAGATCATTTTTGTCATTTCACAAATGCTGAGAGACTGGCTCATCAATATTAACATTAATAATATGTTCATAAAATCACTCACCATTTTTTTTAGCTTGGTTCATCAATATGTAAAAAGTTGCAATAAATGAAAAACTTAGAATGACTTTAATTTAAAAATGTTTTCCATCTGCTGTTGTTTATCTGTAGAATTAAAGCTGTAATTTTTTTAGGATTAAATTCAAGACTTCGAAACTTAAGCAGAAATATGTTTTGTACTTTTACTGTGAAGTACTAATGTTAGTGAAAAATTTAAAAAGGCAGTATGTAAGTTTGAGTGTTTTAAAGTGTAGCAGTGGAATTTTTTAGAAATTTCTATGGTAGGACAGACTGCAGCTTTATGAGAAATTAGACAAATATTAATAACTCACAATTTTTAACTTGATAACTTTTCTAAAAGTTTAGAGAAGATCACAAAAATATTTCAAAATAGAATAAGACTCCCAGAGGGACTTAAAGAAAGTCTCAAAACTGCTTAAAATAAATTTTCAGTGGGGGATTTAGCCCCCATATTCCCTACCAGGGTGCTGCCATGGACCTAAAAGGTAGGCCCAGGCAAGCCCCTTGACCCTTCACCATTTGAACCTATTTGATCTTCACTTGGGCCTCTTCTGTCAAAACTTATGGAGAACCCTATGCAGGTTTAGATGGACATATACTGTGGCTATGAATAGACCAATATGACAAAGAAATACTTTTTGGCTAAAAAGAATGACTTTGGGCTGTCCTGCAAAAACACAAAACCTTAACGGCTATAAGTTGTATGAAGTTCACATAAATCATTATTGTATTTTGAGAGATAGTAATGAAAATTGCTTGTATATCTAATTACGTTTCACTTACTAAAAAAAAGAAAGGAAAAATCAAACCTTCAAGTTTTCTCCAGTCTTCATGCAATTGTGACTAAAATCAAGCACATCCAGATCTGGAAGTTTTTCCTATAAGAAATACATCTATTTATATAAAACAAAATACCTAAAACCTTTATAGCTATGTAAGGAATACAATTTCCAAACTACACATTTAATTACTGTAAAATGAATGCTTGAGCATTTCCTATATTCAGTGTTTGGTTTATAAAACACAATTACTTTGACTATTTGTGTCATAATATTATGGTACAGGATGGTACTATGCATTAATACTCCCTTAGTTAATATGTCGATTTTTTTTTTTATATTTTATTTCAGTGAAGTTTGAGTATGGTCAAGCAAACATATCTTAACTTTGCTTTCTTCTAGGTCTAACTGGGACTTCGCTAATAGCAATTAAACAATTTTTTCTAGGAAGATAGAACATGATGTCCAGAAATAGAAAGCTATTTTTTTTTTATCAGTCAACTGGGGAAAGGCCCAAGGTCTTCCTTGCCTCCAAGTTCAGCATGAGTCAACAAAGGTCACATATAGAGGAAATTTCATGTGCAAATCTTGCCTAAGTTGTTATGTTATGTTTTATATTAAAAGCCAGATTCTTCTCTGTTTAGTATATTTTTCTGTAACTTAACATACAGTAGACTTAACAATTTTTTCTAAGATTGAGATTTTTTTATATCTGGATTCTCTTGCTAAAATTCAGATTTTGCCAAGTTTTAATTTAACTTTCGTATCTTTATTTTGTTTTCCAATTTTCATTTTAACTTTGGATTTATTTTCATTTTGTAACTTTGTTCTACTTTAATTTATGGGGTGGGTGGCTGGACTGGAGAAAGAAAGTGCTCACAAACGTTCTGCTTCCTTTTCCTTTCTCTGGCCAGTCCAACACACTCATCACAGACCCCACTTGTCCCCCATTTTGTTTTGTCTCATAATTGTGTTTTTGTAATATAAATAAAAATTACTCTTCAATCTTCAAGAATTTGACTCTTTCTCCCTAAAAACCTCAGGTAACAACCTGAGAAATAAACAAACATGCACTCTGTAACCTGATACCCTTCAAACCTCAAGTTACTGGGCCATTATTGACTACTGTGAAGGAAATCCATGAGCCTGAGTAAAACACAATATACTCTAGTACCAGTAAAAGATCTTTAAAGCTCTGTAGATATGTAATATTTTTATTTAAGTGACCAGGAATATTAACAAAATTTTCATATTCTTCTTTTATACATATATGTGCATGATTGCCCTTGTGGGAAACTTAGTGCCCTTAACCTGCAGAAAATTTAACAAGTTTATAAATCTTTCTATACTATTTTCTATATCCTTTTATTTTTCATGGTTATTATTTTGCATTGTATTTTTAAGTTAGTTACATTTAATTACTAGTTTAATTTTTGGTTCTGAGCTACATAATTAGCTTGCTTTGATAAGAAGTTCATTATAAAACTAATATATCTAATATGATGGTTACTTCATTTGTAAATTTTCAGCCTAAGCATATGAACACCACTAATAAAATTGTCAAGCAGTAATTCATTGCTTAAATGGCTCCAAAGTAAATACTCTTCAACTTCAAATAAAAAACATACCACAACATTTTCAAAATCTCCTAGATCATTGTGTGATAAGTATAACTTCTTGAGCCTCCCCCACAAAACTCCATTCTGAGATGCCTCTTTCTTAGAATGTTCCAACTCCCTATACAAATCCTGAATTGTGAACAAAGAATAAGTAACATTAATTAGCAATTTTTTAAGCATGTTTTAGGTTTTTATCTTAATGAAGGGTAGAGCTGAGTGGCTTAATCTACTATTCAATATAATCGATTACCTAAGGGCAGCAAATACATCAGTTAGTGTTCCATAAACTAACTGATAATTTCACGAATATAATCAACTAATTGAAACTACTGTTTATGATTAATACCATTTTAGAATTTTACAACAATTGATTAATTGAAATTATGATAAAATAAATCATCATGAAAAAAATCAGCTGAATTTAGTTGTTCCAATTATTACTGTTTTCAATTACTCCAACAATCGAGATTATGATTAAATCGACTGTCACAAAAATAATCAAATACTTGAAATTAGAGTTTTCGATTATTCTGAACAGCCAAATAATCAAAACACTGCCATTATGTTTGTTATTAAGCTATACAATGGGCAGGTGTGGAGATGTTTCATGACTTGACCTATCTACCACTGTCACTATTTTAAACTATTGACTAGAGGAAAGGCAACTGGCTGGTAGCACCCACTGCCAACTCTCTGGCTACTTAATTATTAAAAAAGGGTAAATATATTTTTTTTTTTACACAGTGTTATGTTTCCAATTTATAATTGCATAACAATATTACTTAATGTTGTATAGACAGGCAAAGGGAGAGGGGCTCAATGGGTCCTTGCCTCCATCCATTTTCAACCCAGAAATTAGTAACTGTATTCTTTAATGTTGTATAAGCAGGCACAGATTTAGTAGCTGGGTATATGGGGCAAACCACAGAAATTTTATTTTTAGATCAATAACTATATTATCTAATGTTGTGTATAAGCAGGCACAGATTTAGGAGAGGGTAAAGAGAGTTGAAACCCCACCCCAACTTTTTGACTAGTTTTTTCAGAAATTAATAACTGTATTATTTATATTGTTTAAGTAAGCATATACATCAGGGGTCCGAAATTAGCAAAACATATAGTATCAAAATAACTGCAAATTGTAATAGGAAACCACAAATGTTTATTCTAAATAGCTTAAATCTTGTAACAGTATAGATCTATTTATATTTATTAATTTTTGTTTTATTGATCTTTGAACCGTGTCTGACTAAAGATACCCTAATAGAAGTTGAAAATTACATAGTGCACATGCATCGACATAACCCTATCGAACAGTGTAATGCAGAAGCTTCTGGCATGTATACCCCACGAAGGTTATTTTTCTTTCATTATCTTACCTAACAACTTTCTATTTTTATAATTTTAGTTACTTTTTTATAATAATAAACAGTTACAACAAGTGAAAAATAAAAAACCTTGTAATTAAATATCAAACATTTTTATTTTCAGTAAAACTTTATATTTTATTTGTTATTTTTGGTACCGTAACATTATACTTATTTCTCCAGGTTGTAGGTAAGTAATCAAAGTATAACAAAAATAAAGGTTGCAAAATAAAATGTATAGTATTGTTAGTAGTGATTACAAAATTTCAAAGTACTTATGGTCGGAGTTTATGCTCTCACCTTTTCATACTTATTTTCTGTAGTTATTTTATTGCTAGTAGATGAGTTAGAAATTAAAAGAAACAAAATGAATAGTATTCAGTTCCTAGTTTAATCTCTTGAAAATTTCTTCTAATTTTTTACACCTAATTCCTATTGTTATTCTACTGTTTGTGGCTGAAACTTGCCAAATATAAAGCAATGAACCACCATTCCTGTTTAGGTATTTATAGTACTTTGACACCGTCAATATCAA